CGAGGGACAGACTCCGGCCCAGTTCTTCCTCTGAGGGTCCCGCCTCGCTCTCCGCCAAAATCCCCTTAGAGCCGGAAACTTCCCGCCTCCGGGGAGCGCCAAGCCAACCAGGAGGCGGCCTCCGTGTGACGTCACGGGTCGCCGGGCAGACCGCCCAGCTGCTCTGGAGTACCCGGCGAGGTCAGGCAGGGGCCAGTGCCATCAGTCGCCAGCCGGAGGGCTCAGTCCAGAGAGAGGACGACAGAAAGATCTAGAGAGGAGGGTGGAAACCCAGACTGAAGGTAAAGCGAGGAGGAGGTGGGGAAGCATTCTAATTGGCCACAAAGGGAAGCACAAGAAGTAAAGGACAACCTCCCCCCGGGTTATTTCGGCATTCAGTGCTCAGCAAGGTGTGGCAGTAACTGCCTTTCTGATCTCGGTTCTCATCTTCTTGCTGTCGCGGTGGCTCAGAGCCAGTGCAGTCCCTGATAAAGGTTCTCAGGACACACCTTTTGCACCTTTATTTCTTTTTTAATTTTTACTCCGCATGTAAGTGATGATGTCAGCTTTTGCAGAAAGTACCTTCTTTGTAGGAGGACTGGGGAGGATGCCGTGCAGCGTCCCTGCTCCTGTGGAGCAGCTCCCAGCATGGCCTCAGCCACCTGCCTCCCTGTTGCCCCCACGTGGACCTCTTGCCACTCTGGGTTGCCCAGGCCCTGGCTTCCTCCGACCATCCGCGGGGTGGATGATGTCAGGAGACGGCTCACAGGCTCAACAGGGCCGCCAGGCCTTTCGAAGTCCTCCTGTTCTCCCCCTTTCTCAGAAATACAAACTGAGACCTGATCGCCCGCCCCGCCCCCAATGCGCCTGGACTTCGGAATCCCGGCGTTCCGGGGTCCCTAAGAGCACCCACAATTCCTGCGCTCCAGCTGGGTTTGTCTGGGGCTCAAAATGCAAATGTTCAGAGCCCAACTGGCAGCTAGGCCCAGCCCCGGGGCAGCCTGGAGAACAATTGCTCCATTATGAGGGGCCTCTGTCTAGCTCCAGCCCCTCTGCACCAAATCCCTGGCTCACTGTGGCTGGACCGGCCGACGATGCAAACTCTCCCTGTGTCAAAGGCTGGTTGGCAAGTCAGGACTTTCCCTTTAGAAAACGTCATTGCATTTAAGAAAACATTACCAGGGACCAGCACTCAGGGGGCTAGGCAGAAGGATCTCTGCAAGTTCGAGGCCACCCTGGGATACATGGTGAGTTCAAGGCCAGCCTGGACTACACAGTGGGACCTTGTCTCAAAACAAACAAACCAAAAATGCCATGGTAGGGGGAGCTGCCAGATGACACAAGTCACTGAGGTGGCAAATCTCGGAATAGGCATCCAGAGGCCACGCCAGGAAGGCAGGGTCCTACTTGGGCTACTTGGGGGCCTCGGATATGACTGGAGGATCCCAAACAAGACAAGGGAGTCCGGACCTGACAAGTCACTTCAGACCTGGCCAAAGGATTCCAGAGGGACCCTGGACGTGACTGCGGAACGCTAGACACAAAAAGCTGAAAACAGAGTGGTTCCAGAGAATTCGGGGATCTCAAAGATGACAAAGGGATCTAGTGGGGCACGGAGCGTGGAAACCACAGAGGGGTCCCAGAGGGCCCCAGGAACGACTAGGAGATCGCCGGTCCGACGATGAGAACTCAGACTAGAGAAGATCCGCGTTCCCGGCCCCCAATACGTGCACAGGGCTAGGGCTGCTGACAGCGCCCCTCCTGCAGTGGTCTGTGGGTGCTCCCACCCTGATGAGATCAAGGGTTCACAGATATGCACAAGGGCCCCCAGAGGGACCCTCCTGTCCCGGATGCGGGACCTCGGAAACCACAACGGGGTCCCAGAGGCTCTTGGGGTTCTGGAGGCACCGTCCCCTGCACACCGGTCCTGTGATGCAAAGCTCCCCGCTCCCGGGGCTTCTGCGCGGGCGTCTGTGGGTGCTCCCACCCTGATGAGATCAAGGGTTCACAGATATGCACAAGGGCCCCCAGAGGGACCCTCCTGTCCCGGATGCGGGACCTCGGAAACCACAACGGGGTCCCAGAGGCTCTTGGGGTTCTGGAGGCACCGTCCCCTGCACACCGGTCCTGTGATGCAAAGCTCCCCGCTCCCGGGGCTTCTGCGCGGGCGCC